ACCGGTTAGTTACAGAGTAAAGAGTTAGGCTAACCGAGCAAGTTTGAGCGGCTTACATGAAGAACCGAAGTCCTTGTTTATAAACCAGCCCGGCACCTCGGCTGTTTCGTAATTGCCCGACACCCAGAAAAAATCGTCGTCGTGCAGATCTTTATCCGGGGTGCCGGTTACAATTTTTTCCTTGCCCGGTCTTATCTTCAAGTAATAAGCTAGGCCATCCCCGGTGTGGCCCATTGTGTATTGCCTCAATATCTCGGCTAGACCAAAGTTGGTGCCTAGCCGATTGTTCAATTCATGAACGCCGTTGATTATTCTATAAGTATTGGTGGACACTTGTGTGGGTGCCAGCCCGGTGCGGCGGAGGAACTCGGTGATAAGTGGGTTGAGCGGAAAACGGAGGCCCCTTTCGACAATTGAGAGCATGGTGAAGGGGCATTGGTCTAGTCTGCCCCAGGGTGTTGTCTCCTCTTCAGCCAGTTCGAGATGGACGTCGGCCGGAATGCCGTACTTCTCTCTGAAAGCAGCTAGCGCGGCCGGAGTATCCACTAGGAAGCGGAATTTCCCCATTTGTGGCCGGACTGAGATAGCTCGGCTATGGTGTTTGGCACAAGTGCAATTGTTAATTGCTCGGTCTTGAGAACCTGAGGAATGGACAGTGGTCCCCTTGGACTCTGCAGGAAAAGGAGGGCAAGTGTAAGTGTGAGCGCGGTCGCGCGGAAGGAGCTAGTCTTTAGCTCGGTCGTTAAGGGTGCCAAACCACCTCGGTCTCCTAAGCTAACTAAAGAGCTCGGTCGCCCAAGCAGGCCAGATATTAGCTCGGTTGAGCGACCATTTCCTTTTGTTATCTCGGTTTCTGCTGGGGTTGAGACAAACTTGTTATTTGCTCGGTTAGATTGGTTTTATGGATCAAAAGAAGACCAGGAGCCCGGTCCGCCCCAGTTCCTCAGTGTTCTTCAGGAAAATGAAGAACACCAAGAACAGTGGGAGGTTTGGGACGGTTTCTATGGCCTATGCCCTAAGAGCTACGTTTTTGTGCCCTAATGTGTGTAATATGAAAGAAAATAGCAACAAAATAGGGGTAGAAGGACTCACCAGTGAAGGGCAGGATCTATTCCCTCGAACACGAAGGATGGCAGACGAGGGCAAGGCAAGGATGCTAGAGCTCTGGAGTCGTATAACAGAATGACAGTAGGAGGAGATGGAGTTTGGGAGGCCCTATATGTATAGACAAGTGAGAGACCGCCCAAATTCAAAATTCTGGAAAAAAAGGCAGGTTGGCTGCTCGTTGACCAATGGCAGCCCGCCACGTGTTCCCATTTATGGCGACGTCAGGACTGAAGCGACGGGTTGAAGAGTCGAAGAGCCAACCGAGCTACTTTCGAAGAAAAGGATGTCAGCCGAGGAGTATAGCCGGGCAAGTTAGCAGACAGTTATGTTAACTAGCCCAGTCGCCCTTTGGCATCTTGAAGACCGGAGAAATGTTATCTCGGTCGAAGTGAGTAATCCCAGTCATGCTATCGCGGACGGAATTAAGGGGAAATTGAGAGGGTGATTTATGATCTGGAATTGGGCCGAGGCAACGGCCGAGCAGAACGAGAGCCCAACCGTGCATGGGGCCGAGATGATCGACTATCCGCCCGGAGATGGGCTGCCAGAACTTGGCTCGGGTAGGAATTGGGCCAAGTGTGAGCCGCCCCGGACCGAAAAGAAGCTCGGCAAGGCAGTGCTCGGTTGGACCGAGCTGCTTGATCAAGGGATGGCTGAAGCCAGACAAGTTGAGTGACCGGCGCCCGGAAAGGCGTGGTCAACCGAGGAGACCGTTTGATCGGCAGGAAGGCCGATCACAGGAGGTGCCCGGGCTAGGCTCTGCCGAGATGCCGCCTAGCCCGGTCCTCCTTGGGTTTATCCAGTGAGGTGCTTGGGTATGAAGCATAGCACGGCCGTGGATAGAGCAGCTCGGCTGCCGAGCTCCTGCTGAGTAGGCAGGCAGTTGAGATTAGGTGATGATCGGTAAGGTTTATGCTGACAGATGGGATAGCGGAGCCACGTGTCAGGAGATGACTGGGAGTGGATATGGGGCGCAGAGGGTATATAAGCATGTCTGCGCCCCCCATACGCGACAGACGAACACTTTTGTAAGGAATTCTTACACTCAAACACTCTCTCTCTTCTCTCTATCTATCCTAAGGTGTGTGCTAACTTGATCGTCGGAGAGTTTTTCCGGTCACACACTGCCGGGTAGCTCACCGTTACTTGCTCGCAGGTGATCGGACATAAACGGAGCTCGGAAGAAAGGAGTACGGGCTTGCCGGAATATTTGCTCCCCGTACAAGATCAATTAACAGTCTTACGCATAATCAACTGTTTAATCTGTATATTTTATTTTAATTGCTCCTACTTGAAAATAAGTTTCCTTAATCATGAAGATTATGATGGTGACCAACATCTAATGAAAAACTCTACGCCATTTTGTTTTTAGAGATAGAACGGAAGGAATTTATAATGTAGGGATTAAGTAAAATTATATTTGTTTTGATAATAGTTGTTGGTGTAAGGATTTTTAAATTATTAAATATAAAATAAAAACACAAATAAAAATTTATAAAGACATTAAACATTAATGTCCAAAAAAAATGCCCATTATGTAAAAAACAAAAAATAAAATAAAAATAAAAAATAAAATAAAACAAATAAAATTATGATTTTTACTTAAGAAAAAATACAAAAAATTAAACATTAATGTTAAAAAAAATGCCCAACATGTATAAAAAAAAAAAAAAATTCAACACACTATTTTCTAATACCAAGTCCCAAGTCTCCATCCTAATCTCCTCCCCAAACCCATTTTAATCCAGAGGGGTTTATGAATGAGATTTTTAGTGAAAGGCCCCTTCCATGGGGCCTTTTTTATGTGAAACCCACCAAATAAAATAATGGTTTCAAAAGTCCATCAAATGAAAAAATATGATGAAAAGACTGAAATACCCTTCCATATAATCCAAAACTCCTGTTGAACCATTTCTCTTCTTTTCTATCTCTACGTGACTGGTATCCTCTCTCTTCCCTTTATTTTCTCTCTTTCTAAACCCTAAACCCTTTTGATCTCTATCTTCGATCCATATCACAAAATCGAAAATTTGAAATCGTCCATTGAAATCCATCATCATCTCAAATTTGATGCCTATGAACTTATGTTTGAGACCAATAACTTCATATTTGAGATAAAATGAACTCATATGTGTCAAAAGAATGATAAATTGATATATTACAATAAAAAATCAAAAGTTTTTTGTTTGTTTGTTCATAGATCTAAAGTAAAATTCGACTATAATTTCTTTATTTAGTATGTACTCTGTTTTCGTAACAGTAAAATTTTACTCTGGTTAATGAAAAATAAAGTTTGTTCTCTTATGCTCTTTGTATGCTTTTTTTTTTTTAGGCATTGTGATGTTTTGATTTGCTTAAATGTCAGATGAATAGATTTTATCTCTGTTTTGTGTTGGTAATAATGGGATTTTTTTTTTAATTACAATGTATGGATTATAATGCTAGTTTGTTTGATATTCATTTCCTCTCTTGTTGCTTTTGACTTAAATTGAAGCCCTAGAAACGGTCGATTTTGATGCAGTTTGGTGTGTTTAGTTAATTTCGATTTTGTTTTTTCTTGTTGCTTTTATGTGATTTAATTGCATTAATTTCAAAAGTAAGTGACAGTGTAGATGCTTGCCTACTTGTTTGCTGCTTTATTGACTTATCTTACAAACAAAACTACTAATCAATCAGGGTAAAACTTTACTTTCAATGAGACAAATATTTTACTTCTAAACAGAATAAAATTTTACTTTCATTTTCCTTACTCTTTTTTTTTTCTTTGGCCTCATGAATATTCTTTGTTTATATGTTAGAAATGGTAAGCTTTATGATTTTGTTGATTTTCAAATTTGAGTAAATCTAACAAGATTTTGATTTCTATTAACAGTGTTGATTACGGAACTATTGTATGTTATATCATGCGTGAAATCATGAGAGATGAGCCTACTGCAAGGTCTGTGGAAGATGATGAAATTAACAATTTTCAAGCATCAATAGTGCATTAATTTTTGAATGATTCTTCAAAGGCATGGGGTGGAACAATTCAACCTCAAAAAAAAAAAAAAGCCAAGTAATAAGACCTCAAGGACGGCGATGTGGACGACTTTTGAGAACTACTTTTTTGTATCTGATATGAATGATGAATGTAATTTTTCTTTTTTGTGAATGAAATAATGTTGAAAAAGTAATTGTAGGTGAAAGAGTGGTAAAAGAGTAACAATGATACATGTTATACTTATTATGGATTAGGATGGAACATTGTCATAGAACATTGTTATGGATAGAATACAATAAAACAATTTATATTTTGTGTCTCTTGATAATATATGTAGTTGTGGTGTTATATTATTTTTGCACAAAGATTGTGTTATGAGCAGCAGGGACTTTGTGTATTGTTGTAAATTTTGGTGCAGGTTAGAAATGTTTTCATATAGGACTCACATACTTTAAAGTAAAATTTTACTCTACAATAGAGTAAAACTTTACTTTCAATTCAGAAAACAAATCAAAAACTGCATAGACAGACATTCAACAATGCAGTAAAATCATACTTTCAATTCAGAATAAATTTCACTCTGAAATACAGTAAAATTTTCTCTAAAATAAAGTAAAATTTTACTTTCATGTTAAGAAAACTAATGTTTTACTATGTTTTAGAGTAGAAATTCACTCCTATTAAACAAACTCCAACATAGTAAAATTTTACTTTCATGTTAAGAAAAGTAATGTTTACTATTTTAAGACTAGAATTTTACTCAAAATCTTCATATTAACAAACTCTATTTTAAGTTCCTTTACATGAAACTAATCCAACTACATGAAGAAAAAAAAAAAATATATATATATATATATTAAAATGTCAAATTCAACCACAAAGCAAATCATAAACTTGGATAGACAATCATTCATCAATATAGTAAAAATGTCTTTTATTGAACACATAGTAGCGACCCCACACTTGTCATTCTTTACATACACAAACTCAAATCCTATCTCAATGGCATATTTACATAACACAATCTAGAAATCCTTTGCATCTCTAACAAATCTTTGACCTACATGAGTAATTCCATTCACCCATCCAGAAGACGACAAAGTCCTTTCTTCATGTTGACAAAACATAGGGAGTAAATCCATTTCATCATCAGTAACGTTGGATCCACTAGCCTCACTCAAGTCTCTAACTCCATGTTTTTCATTTGAAATGCCCATTTTAGTAATAGTCACATCAACCGGGCAACACCAAGGGGATAAACAAGCGACAACATATTCTGAAAATCAGAATCATCATCAATCATGCATTGCGAATGTCCAGGTAAACAGTACGATAACAGTATGCAACCACTACTGTCAAACTTCTTCAATTTACAACTTAAAAAATCAGTTAAGTCCTTCAACGTGTAGTTTGACACAACCTTAAACACAATGGTACAATCACCATACTTGCATAACAACATAAGAGATGGAACCATTTTTCAAATCTACAATGAATTGATAATAAAATTTTACTGTCAATCAAAGTAAAATTTTACTATCACTAAGAGTTTAAAAACAAATAACAGAAATACACAATGACAGAGTAAAAGTTTACTATCATTGTATAAAAAATAATAAAAAACAGAACAGATAACACCAAAGTAAAAGTTTACTCTCATTTTATCAAACAAAAATAGAGCACATACTAGAGTAAAATTTTACTCTCATTTTATCAAACAAAAACAGAGCACAAACTAGAGTAAAATTTTACTCTCATTCTGTCAAACAAAAACTAGAGCACACACCTGATTGAACTAGGCAAATCAACAAAAATAAATCAAAAATAAAAACAAAAAAACTAATCAACATATTTGATTGAACTCGAACAATAATCAAACATGTGATTGAAGCAAAATCTCTAAAACTCCATCAGCACTCACAAATCTAAATCGTGTATTGTTGACCAAGGGCGAGATCGTCGGTGGTGAGATCTTAATATTTTGAGATCGTCTTCATCTTCACTGATTTCGCAAATCATCTTGAGCTGAGATTGTTCAAATATATGAAATATATATATATATATGAGGGCAATATGGTCAATATATATATATATATTATAAAATGTCCTTATTGAGCTGGGCTTTTCCTACTCAGGGGCTTTTTGAAAGAGAATTAATTTAGTGGTCCTTTATCTTAAAAAAAGGCTCAAAAAGGGGGATTTCACCAAAAATCCCTTTATGAATCTCCTCTCCATCTCTTAAAACAAACATAATATCAGTGCGTCCCACCCCAATTCTAATTCTTCCTCTATCTCCCAAAATAAATGGGCCTAGGTTCCCAAATTAAACTACCAAGAATTTTCTAGGAAGTGGGATATATAGTAAAGATTGAATTGTTAGAAGTGTAAAATCTATATGTAAATAAATCTAAATTATAAATTATTATTTTTTTAATATAATTTGGAGTAATATTTCTAAATTCGTAGTATTACTCACATGCTATTAGCAAGTAATCCTCTTTTAACTTTCATTGCCTACACTATTGGGTTCGTTATCCTATTGAAACGGGTGAGCTTCCACTTCTACCACAAATCAGTTTTTTATTTTTAGATCCAACTATGGTGTTGTTTAATACATTTTATTCTATATTAAAATTTGATAATTTAAAAGTAGAAGTCAAAACTACTTCTTAGTTAGTTTATAAAAATGAATTTTTGTTTCAATTTATTTAAATTATTTCTACATAATAAATTATAAGTAGAAGTTGTACGAAACATTTTGATACAGACTTATAGAATAAAAAAATATAAGCAGTTCAGAGAAACAGCACCAATGGGGGTGTTTGGTGTAGCTGGTAAAACAGATTATAGATTATAGCTTTAATCAGAAGCTGTTAATCTATTTGGTGTAGCTGTTGGATTATAGATTTAAGTTGTTGAGTAGTGTTTGTTAAATAAGCTGTGAAGTAACTTTTTGTTGTTTAAATGTCTTTTTTACCCTTGTTAGTTGTAAATTGAATTTATCTAGACTTCTTGCTATTTATTACATATTAAGAGATCATTCCAACACCAAATTAACATAACCCTATTATTTTTAAATAATAATACAATGAAATAAATATTACACAAAAATAAATATATTGTATTTTAATAATTACCATCATTATCATAATCACCATCATCATTGAAATTGTTCATCTTTTTATACTGTATAGAAATTGGGGTCATGTACCATATTCATTCAATAAGAAATTAATTTAACACATACAATAAATATAAAATTAGAGGATATAGATAAAATAAATTAATTTAACACACAAAATTAGAGGATATAGACACAAAATAAAATTAAACAAACATCAGCAGAATACCTGCAAAAATTGGAATGCCTCTTGGTTGTTTAACAATTCGGAATGGCAAACAAGTTCACCATCAGACTATATATAGACAGTGTCATTGCAATATTCATAATTTAAAATAATATCTTTTTAAAATTGCTTTTCAACTTGCGGGCAAATGGACAAAATACAATTTGCAGGCAAATGGACAAAATCACAACTTGCAAAATCACATGGCACACAAGTGGCCAAATACAACTTGCAATAATACTTCATATTCCATCCATGAAGGCACAACTTGCAATAATATTTCCTATTCCATCCGTGAGAGCACAAATTAAACATAATTCACTGAGGCAAACATAAATACAACATCAAGCCAAATTAATTAAAGATAGTCCTAATAATGCCTTTTAAAATAATAAAAAAAACACATTCGCACAATGAACTAATCACGAAAACCAGGAATGCGAGCCTTTTCCAAAGCAATTTCAAGATTAATAAACTTCAAACGCAACACATCATTAGGCAAAGCCATGAAAGACTCACGAAGTGAGGGTTTCATGAACATCCTTGCAGCCCAAACTAAAAGGTCATCGTCTTCACTAACGCTAGAGATTGTGCTAATCTTAGCCAAACACTCAGTTATTGTGTGCGGATTTTGCATAGCAGCATTCTGTGTACCAGTTGAAGATGATGCATCCACAGTATTGACAATGCGATTAAGTGTCTTACTTAACTCACCGGCAGCCGATTGTTTTTTGTTCCCCTTTTGCTTATTTGATGGACCTTCTTTTTGGCGACGACATTGGTTGCTCAATCCAGATGGATGGATTTCCGTATCAGTATCATCACCAAGTGGGGTGTGAGATCCCTTAGTGTCAAGAAACACTCTAGAGCTTGGGGTGTATGCCCACTCACCAGTTGCAGAAACATCAGAGAATAGTATGTCCATGTCATCGGCCAATGTCAATGGCTTCTCACGAAATTTGGCCGCATCAGGATACCTTTATAACAAAATATGGACAAATAATTACAAATATATAAATCATAAAGCTCAAGTACAAGTGAGCAAGAAAAAAATATTTAACATAATTCACTGACCTGTAGCTTCAAATTCCACCAATCATCAGATGCCATGATAGCTCCAGTCAAGGGATCTAACCCCAGCCCAGTCTTACCTCTCAATAGATTTTTCCAAAGACCCCACTCCTTTTTTAAGGTATCCCAACGATTTTTAAGCTGAATGCGAACATATGACTTTCCAGTTGCAATTTTGAACTTGTTAATAACTGCTTCCCAACCAACCCTATCTAAGTGCGTACCAGGTCTGTGACCTGCTTTCACATGTTGACAAAAATTTCAGTAGATTTTGTGTTCCAATGTGCCTTTAAACCTTGTGAGGGTTAGGAGTTTTGGGAAGCTTTTCCCTTGCTCTTTGTAGTTATTGGAGATTGTGATGGTGGTTGGGAACTCATTTTCTATTAAACAAATAATAATAATAAGAACACTTGAATTGCAACAATGGTTTGAACAACCCCTTACTGATTGGTGTGTGTGAGATAACAACAGATTGAGGGGTAGATTGTTGGATAGCTTGATATATATTGTTGGGCTAAGTTCGTATAACACTTTCCATCACACAAAGTCATGCCCTCTACTCTACAAAGAAATTATAACATAAATAGATGCATCAAGAGAAAATGTAAGGCACCATTTCTTTTAAGCAAATACAACCTTTATGGAAAAATTAAGTGCTAAATTTCATTCCATCAAATATTCTAAATCTCTGATATAGTTGCGAGGTAAACTAGGCTGAGGAATACCCAAAAAGCCCATCAGACAAACTAAAAGCAAGCAAAAAATCCCATAAACAATGCAAAAGTATGCACACAGAGAGAGAGAGAGAGAGAGGGGAACTAATGGATACAAAATACGCAACTTCCAATATAAAATGGAAAAATGGCATGCATCGGACCCTATCATTCTCTAATTATTCTCCTCGGTTGTCCCTTTTACAGCATGAAAGAAATGCAAATCAATTTTTTTGTAATGATATTGCTGGCAATTTTGAGGGCAATCATTGACATCTCAATATCCCATATTTCCAACATGGCTTTATAATCTTACATCTCCATCCATATAATTTATGCCTAAACAATTTTCCCTCTAGTTCCGTTGCTAATAAAGGGTGAGAAAATGACATAAAACATAAAAAAAAATTTAGCCCATGTAGTTTCCACTGTTTTAGCTTCCTAAATGTGAACATCTCAACTTAAGCAACCCAAAGTTGTATTAGTCTAAGCATAGTGCATATTTAGTAACTTTAGTATGACGAATAAAATCAAGGACTCAAACTATTGTTTTTATTTCCTGTACTATTCACAAAACTAAACAAATTATGTAAAACATATAATTTTTTAAAAAAAATTATGAGTAAGGGTTTGTTCTATAAAAATATATATAATAAACATATATTTGTGTACAGCAACAGCAATTCTAAACATATTCTAAAAAATTTCCCCAAATAAACCAACACAAATTTTTAACATAAAATTTTTAACTCCTACACAAACATAGCATTAATAAACCAACTCCTACACTAATTTTTAACATCAAAGCATGAATAAATTTCCCCAAATTTTTCATAAACCCTAACTATTGTTATTTTCCCCAATTTGAACAAATTTGAAATACATATATATATATATATATATATACATGCATGCCGAGCAAGAAAAAGAAAAATCAAAGATGAAGGAAACGAACCAGAGTCGGAAAGAGAGAAACAGAGAAACAGATCCAGAGTCAGAAACGAATCAGAGCCGCACGTCGCCGGAAGCAAACCAACGCCGGAAACAAACCAGAGATTCACGTTTTCGGAACTGAACCAGTGCCGAAAGCGAACCAGAGTCGCTACTTCACTACAAGAAAATACACCTTTGGCGACTAAATTTTTAGTCGCCAAAAGTCCCTTTTTAGTCGCCAAATGTCAAATTTCCACTTTCCCCGACAAAATCTTTTAGTCGCCGGGTTTGTCGCGAACAGACGGTCGGCAATATCTTTGGCGACTAAAAAACTTTTAGTCGGCAATACACAGGTCTTTAGCGACTAAGATTTTAGTCGCCAATAGTCAATTTCATTTTTGGAAATTATACCTTTGGCGACTAAACTATTAGTCGCCAATAGTGAATTAATTTTTTTATTATTTATACATTTGGCGACTATTTTTTTCGTCGGCAATGCTCAATCTTTTGGCGACCACAGTGTTTAGTCGCCAAAAGCATTTTTGAAAAAAAAAAAAATTTCCCTTTGTGCCTCAGACGCTTCGAACCTGAGACCTCTAGGTGGTTCTAAACCTTAACCACCCACTCAACCCCACTATGCCACTGAACCATCTCATGACTATAGTTGCAACTTATATTATTTATATATTACTTTCACCAGTATATATATAAATGTAATTATATATATTCAATATAATTTATGTAAAAAATAAATTATTTATTAAAAAAAATTTAGATCACTTTTGGCGACTAAAAAAATTATTTAGTCGCCAATTCTATTATTTTTGGGCTACTAATTAATTTTCCGTCGCTAAAGAAAACCATTCCGCCTAAAAACCTACCCTTTTGGCGACTAAACTTGTTTTTGGTCGCCAAAAACCTCCCCCTTTGGCTACTAAAGTGAATTTTAGTCGCCATAAACCTGTTTTTAGCTACTAATTTTTTTTTAGTAGCCAAAAAGCTTGACCTTCAGCGACCAAACTGTTTTTAGTCGCCAAAACAGGTACAATCAGCGACCAAAGTGGTTTTTAGTCGCCAAAACCTTAACGTTTGGCTACCAAATGGTTTTAGTCGCCAAAAACCCTAACCTTTGGCTACTAAAAATATGTTTGTCGCTAAAACCCCTATATTTGGCGACTAAACTGCCTTTTAGTCGCTAAAACCATTGCATTCGGCGACTAAACTCTTTTAGTCGGCAAAAGTGACCAATTTTGGCGACTAATTCCATTTTAGTCGCCAATTCTATGACTTTCGGCGACAAAAATTCCCATTTTAGTCGCCAATAGTGTTTTTTGTTGTAGTGCTTGCTGCTGCGTTGCTACTGATCTCTTGCCAAAGAGAAAGATTAGGGGAAAAAAAAAAAATATATATATATATATATAGGTGGTATAAGGGTAAATATTTCAAAACACCAACGACATTTAAGTCAAATTGCCCTCCGTATTTTACCTGTGAGAATCTGAAGCTGGTTAAACCAGCTTTTGAATTTTATCTTTTTTCACCTTGTCTATAATCTGTAGAAGTTGAAGCTGAAGCAAATTCAAGGCTACCAAGCAGCTTGAATTAGCTTTTTTTAAGCTAAAAGCTAGAAGTTGGGCAAAAAAAGCTTCAACAAACACCACGCACAAATGTACAAAACTAGTGTGCCAGATTGATTAATGTTATATATATTAAAAAAAAATTACATATACAGAATGATGTGACACTATTATGATCATATTACTTTATAACAAAAATCCATCAAATTGATTATTAATTATATATATGTCAGTAGCACATCATTTTTGTAGTAGATTTTGTATATATTTTTTTTTGTAAGAATATGTTTTCCCATAACGATATCAGATGAGGGTAACATAACTTGTAATACAATGCATGAATTACATCCTCCTCTTACGTACAAGCTGTTGGCTAATGATTCAAAATTCCCTGCACATTCATACACGAGCTAAAAATTTAAAGTAACACATTGCATGAATTGGTGACTATGCATGAAGCACGGTTAGCATCTTATTAATGGATTATTATGGTTGAGTTGGGGGGGCGGGCGTTGGGGCAAATATACTTGAGTATTCAATTGAGTTCTTTTGCGACCTTGATCATTTCTGGCCTATCTTCTTTTTTTCATTTGGGTGCATCTCAAGGCAAGTGCTGCTACAGCTTGTAATTGTTGTTCTTGCTCAATTCCTCCTCTTTCTTTCAAAATTCTTGGATCAACAACTACAATAAACTTATCCTTGTCTACATAGTCTTTCACATGTGTATTTATTAACTGTCGATAATTTTTGCTATCTTTCATGTCTGAGGTTCTTTTCCGATCAAAAGTTGAACAAGAATAATGCCAAAACTATAAACATCGGACCTCTTAGTGAGAAAGCCCGTTATCAAGCACTCAGGATCTATAAATTCACATGTCCCAATTACCAGGGATTTTACTTGTGTTTCTCTAGAAGGAATTGATAAAGATAACGAGAAATCCAATAATTTAGCAACACCACATTGGTCTATGATAATATTACTTGGTTTTAGGTCCCTACAGATGATGGGTGTTGAAAACACAGTGTGCATGTAAAGAGACTACGACAGATGACTGCAAGCTGGCAGAAAACAAACAGAATGCAAAGAGAAAAATGTAGGGATGCATTTTCTAAGTACCAACACGTGGCCAAGGTGACGCCGCCGTGTCAACCGAGGTGCCACGTGTCCTGGTCATGACGCCGAGGTGATCTCGGCTAGGCCGAGGTTGTCTCCGAAGATATCGGGATCCGGGATAAGCGGATAAGGGACAAGAGTCTTAGATTGGGAGAAGACTTCAATTTGGATAAAGATTAGACTCTTAGAGAGTTTATCCTAATCCTACTGGGAGTCCAAGATTAGCAGTAATCCTAAGTCCATTAGAGCTAGGCTTCTATTGAGACTAGGATTGAGTTAACTATAAAAGAGAGGCACCCCCATGGGTGGAAGGTACGCAATTTATATTCAGAACAGTGAGTTTAGCACTATTGATTATCTTTGAGAGATATTTAATTACTGACTTAATCATCGGAGTGCCCCCGGGTGGACGAACCACCACTAGAATCTCTTCTTTCTGTTGCAGGTCGTTCGGGTTTATCCTATTCTACCAGTGTTCTCCAGCTGGATACTGAGTTGGCAGTGTGGTCAGAAATTCACTCACACAATTTGGCAGCGTCTGTGGGAACAAAGAAGAATAGATGGCCAAC